AAACTAAAAACTGTATGTCATTAAATTTGAGGGTCATCAAATTCTCTTTAAAAAAATAAAAAAAGATTTACTTGAGTATCAGAAACAAGTGAACTTTTATAAATTCATAACTAACAATTTATATGATTTTTATTTAGGCACATTACCAAATACAGGCTGCAAGCAAGATACATTATCTGTAGATGACCAGATTGCCAAGTTCAAGTTCAAAGAACCTTTAAAGTCATTTCCTCTAACATGAGGTAAACAGAGAAGCTCATGCCCAAGTAGAAAAACATTCAGCAGCTATCCCAAAGCATTAACAAGTGTTCAGGACCAGATTGTCTCAGAGCATAGTTAAATCACACACAGACCAGCCTTCTCAGCATTCTTGAACACCTGATACAGTGACACACCTCAAGGTGGGACAAAATATCCAAGGTGTGTGGTGTTGAAGCAGCTGAGAATCAAATGAAGAAACCACCTGCACATCTACCTGCTTCTTATATCCAGTCATTTCTCTGATGGGTAGGGGATAGGGGGGTGGGGATAACCAATATTCAAATGTATTAAAAAGGTCAGACCTTTCACATAAAAACTTATAAATGTAGGAAGCAAAAGGGAGCAAAAGAAAAATGTTACAGTCATTCTAATACTGGAGAACAGACTATAGAACAGTCTAGGTAGAAATTCCAGGGACCACTCAGTCTTCAATGTTATAGTCCTTAAATGCATCCAGGCTACTAATACACCTATTTTCTGTGGGTTTTTAATCGTCATCTGAAGATATGTTTACTGATTTGAAAGAGAGAAAAAGAAACACTGATGTGAGAGAGAAACATCAATAGGTTGCCTCCCACCGTAACCGGTTTGGTTCAGTGGATAGAGCGTCGGCCTGCGGACTGAAAGGTCCCAGGTTCGATTCTGGTCAAGGGCATGTACCTTGATTGTGGGCACATCCCCAGTAGGAGGTGTGCAGGAGGCAGCTGATTGATGTTTCTCTCTCATCGATGTTTCTAGCTCTCTACCTCTCTCCCTTCCTCTCTGTAAAAAATTAATTTATTTTTTTAAAAAAATAGGTTGCCTCCCATATGTGCCCCAAACGGGATCGAACCTGCAACCTACTAAGTATGTGCCTTGATCGGGAATCAAACCTGAAACCTTTTGGTATACAGGAAGACGCTCCAACCAGCTAAGCCATTCGGCGAGGGCACCTCTGTTGTTTTTTATATTGTATATTTAACAAATTTAAGGCTTCCTATATGCCAGATGCTGCTTTAAGTTTGGGAACCCTGAGAAAGAAGTTGCCTACTAAGAAGGGTTCCTGGTGGCTTAACTGACCTTAAATTAAAAACAAAACCAAACCAGAGGCTAGCAGCTCTAAAAAGAATCTCTCACCCAAACCACACTTCAGGGAGAAGCTTGCACTAAGCTGCCTTCCTTCTGCACTGACCTGCCTTCCTACACTGTGTTTCTGCCATCTGAGCCTGCCCTTGAGTTCATGGAATCTTATTTCAACCAACAGGACTGAGACATTGCTTGTCTAACGGAAGCTGTGCAACTATATCCCCATCAGCATCTTCACTGACAAATCGGAGCAGCTCCATTCAGACCAATCAAGACATCAACCCTTTTGGACCAAACTGGGAAGATCTCAAGTCCTTATTTGCATGAGGATGGACCAATCAGGGACCAGGGACAGGGACTTCTGTCTATATAAACCAGCTCCCCTCTGGTTCAGAGAGCACACTCTCCCTTTCCACCAGAGACAGAAGATTCCCTAGGTGGAGAGTAGTGCAGAGAGAGGCAGGGCAGAAAACAGCAGACCAATGTAGAGCACAACAGAATAGACCAGACCAGACTAGAGTAGAACAAGGATAAGTAACTGAAAAGGGACCTGGTCCCAGGGCCACCTCACAGCCATGCTGTATCACATTTGAGCTGTTTTGCACTGAATAAAGTTTCCTTCTTTGTGGCACTGCAAAGGGGAAGTTTGACAAGTACTTAACAAATATTAACTTACTTAATGTTAATACCAACCCATTAAGGCACATATTTTACCTTACAGATATGGAAACTGAAGTACAGAGAGATTAAGTCACCTTCTCAAGGATACACATCAAACCTGGCAGTCAAGTTGCAAAGTGTATGCTTCTAAACACTAAACCACCTTGCCTCTTTTTATGAGTTTTTAATTGATAAACTTTCATGAATATGAACAAAGCTTTGCACTAGAGCAAAATACACTGACTCTATACTAGCCACTTGTTTAGTGGTCTTTTGTCAGTTAAATGCAGTTATTTAATCCCTGCAACAGTATTATTTGTTAGATTTCTATCAATAGTTTCAATTCTGGCTGCACAGTGGAATCACCCAGAAGTTTCATTTAATTGAAATGGGAACTGGTCATTTATTTTAATACTCCCCAGATGAATCCACTTTGTAGCCATGGTTCACAATCACAGGTCTATAGCAAGGTTGTAAACTCAACTACCTGGTGAAATAATATACAGAGCACTGAGGCAAGGGGCAACCTGAAGAGTCAAATTTACTTTTTTTAAAAAAACAAAACACTGCATAGATAAAACTTAGTATCTACAAACACAATTTGGCTCATGGTGTATCTTCCATATTTGGAGCACTCACATACATATTTATGATAAAAATTATTAATTCAAAATGTAAAACCCTTTGAATACATTCTGTATGAGAAATAAAAAGAATCAAGAAAAGCGAGAAATCAATGGCATCAACATCTGTTATACCCTCGTGAAACTTTACCAATATGTATACTACCACACAAATCACTTATTTAATGTAAACAAAGGATTTATGAACAACCTCTGGGACTTAATTTCTGTATAGATAGGAACAGGAATTTCTATAAAGTAGAGGAATTTTTGTATAAATGGGAATAAGGGATACTCAGACACCCCTTCCTCTAAAGGCCCAGGGATTAGCCATCTATTCTAAAATAACCCTTACAGCTCTAACCGGTTTGGCTCAGTGGACAGAGAGTCGGCCTGTGGACTGAAAGGTCCCAGGTTTGATTCCGGTCAAGGGCATGTACCTTGGTTGTGGGCACATCTCCAGTAGGGGTTGTGCAGAAGGCAGCTGATTGATGTTTCTCTCTCATTGATGTTTCTAACTCTCTATCCCTCTCCCTTTCTCTCTGCAAAAAATCAATAAAATATATTTTTAAAAAATAAAATAAAATAACCCTTACAATAGGCTTCAGTATATCTGCACGTAAAGCACAATACATTAGTACAGTTTAAATCAACTGTTCTCAGGTGTTTGAATTTTGCAATCAATATAAATTTCATCTACAAGATTGAGGAGATTAATATTGGCGTCTCAAATGTTTTTTTTTTGCTAAGTTAGAATATAAGTAAATTTACATACATACAAAAAACTATTACCATCTTCTAACACTAACATACATAGAGACACACATTGCACCACTGCAACACCCCTATCAGTTTTTATCTCATTTTTAAGGCAGATATTTTACTTTACAGATAAGGAAATTGAAGTACAGAGAGATTAACTTGGCAAAACTTTATTTTTTCTTTAATCTTTGGCTGACACTGGTATGTAGAAACCAATGGGTAGGAAAGGGGGAATAGCAGATAAAAGAAGAAATAAAATTCACAGCATACAGTAAAATAAGGCAACAAACATTTATCCAATATTTATTAAGAACAAAGTACTTTATTATATCTATAGTTTCAAAATTTTAGTGTTATATACAGAAAACTGAATATTATTCGTAACGATAATTTGGGCCATTTCAAAAAGGGTAACATTAATCTAATATACTGAATTTAAGAAGATATAAATTCATTACAAAAAATGATATCCAAAAGTTAAAACTTGAAAGTTATGAATATAAAAAGATTAAACTATAGGAAATATCTATATTAACCTCTTTGTTTTTGTGTATGTATGCCTTAAATCTATGAGGCATGGTTCTAAGTACTAGGAATCCTATCCTATATAATAAAAGCCTAATATGCTAAGTGTCCAGTCGGCCGTTGAACCAATCAAAGTGTAATATGCTAATGATATACTAAGGCTGCTCAACTGCTCGCTATGACGTGCACTGACCACAGGGGGCAGTCGACCCGCCAACCAGTTGCTATGACATGCACTGACCACCAGGGAGCAGATGCTCTGACTGGTAGGTTAGATTGCTGCTGGAGTCTGGCTGATCAGGACTGAGCTGGACACGCCCTGAAGCCCTCCCGCAGTCCCTCCCTGGCTGACCAACCTCCCACGTCCCTCCCCGACCCCGATTGTGCATTGGTGGAGTCCCTCGGCCTGGCCTGCACCCTCTCGCAATCCGGAATCCCTCAGGAGATGTTGGAGAGCCAGTTTCAGCCTGACCCCACAAGCCAGGCTGAGGGACCCCACTGGTGCATGAATTCGTGCACTGGGCCTCTAGTACAAAGATAAAAGGCAGCATCCTACTCAAGGAACTAAGTTTAGTGGGCAGACGAATGAACTGCCGAATGACAGACGAAAGACAGACGAATGAACTGGTAAGTGATAAAAACAATTAAGAGCAACTGTGCTTATGAGAGCACAAGGTAGAAAGAGAGCACTTATTTATGTAAAATTGCACACTGGTGTCTTCCAAGGATCTATCCTTAGCTATACGTTATCATCACTCCATTGGTCAGTTCATCTGTCTTCATCAATGCTTCAACTTCCAAAGAAAGGGCTTCCAATACATTTCCAAGGGACACATTCCATACTAAAGCATTACCACTTTCCTTAGGACAGGCCAACCTGCTTTCTACTCTGTTCTCCTTGCCCCTATCCCAACACACATTTTCAAACTGGATGGTGATGGCTACTTATTTTCCCAGGCAAGAAATCTTGGCATCATCTTTGACTCTTCCTCTTTACTTTAACTAAAACACCTCATTCTGAACTTCGGAAAGTCTTTTTGTCTATTTTCATGATCACTACTGTTATTTATGCTATTAACTCTAAATCATATTCCTGTCTCTTACCTGATTTCCTTTCTTCTAGATTCCTTCTCCAATATACAGTACTTTCTTAGCTCAATGTTCTTCAACACCTCTGTCCACTGTATAATCCACAAAACTTTTAAAATAATAGAGATACCTGTTACACAAAGTTCTATAGTTGATACTAATGTGGAATTAAGACCGAGATCCACTATATGTGTTGTTACATTTTTTCCCCCACAAAACAAAGGATCTACACCAATACTTTTTTTTACTGTACCTTTTGAAATGTAAAACATTCCCGAAAAAGATGCCTTAATACAAAGAAAACTAAAAATAACAAAATCAAATAACTATAATACTGTGTGCCCCTAAATGAAGTGACTGTTTATCAGTCACATTTCCCTTTATCTTTTGTTACTGATTATTAAACTCTTTTCATTTTTTTCATCTGCTAGAATGACAGTTCACTAACATTACATTCATTCCTTCATTTTTAGACCTTTTGGGTTTAGTTGAAAAGTATCTCTAATTCAAAAGATTTTCCCTTTCTCCAATTCTCTTGTTTTAGGTGTCTGCTAAAGAAAAATCAATTACAAATATATTTTTCAGCTGATCCTGAACCACTAATCTAACTCACCCTTTGTCCCAAACTATGAAAAACCATTTCAATAATCAACAAGAATTAAACATCTAAACTTGGCTTAGTTGTTGAGTCTTAAAATACTGCTCATAACGGCTAATCTTTGTAACACAATTTTTTCTGGATTTAGTCTTCAGAACCAACCTATCCTGTGTTTTCCTTTTCTGCTTCAGTATCACTCTTGTTTAATTACTTTTGTATTGTCAGTGCTCTAAAAAACATGGTTTTTTTAATGCAGAAAAGTAGAATAAAGATCAGCCATAATCTCATGACCTCAAGGATACTTACCACTGTTACCAGGTTAATGTACTTTTATTTCTCTCTGATTAATTAATAAACTGCATGGGTTTATGTGATTAATTGCTTTGATCAGTTTGGCATATAAAATAAGTAAATTCAGAGACTAAATAAATTGATGAAATTTGCTAAAGTAAATATATTCACAAGACAGGTTAAAAAAATCAAAACTAAATGGAATCGAGATCATACTTTCATTCCTAACAACCACAGCCTTTACATTTTCTTGGAATTTTTACATGGATACTTTAATTTTGGAAAAAGAGAAGATGCCAAGCATAATAACATTCATTAGAGTAACAGAATTATGTGACTAGTGTTTCAGGATAAGAAGCTAGGAAAATTCCAGGGCAGGAGGAATGGGGAAACTGAGACAGGAAAGTTAAAACAAGGCCAAACAGTGTGGGCAATTTGCAGCTGGCCTACAGATAACAAGCTATTATCTTCCTCAGCCAAGTATACATGAGAGCAAATGGTTAAAAAAGCCTCCGTAAGAATGAAGGAAAGGAGGGCGAAGGGAAAAGGGGCAGTTTGATTTTTTTAATCCCTAACAGAGAAGCCAGCAGTCTCAGGGCGTGGCAAGATAATATTGCCAGTTGCTTCTTACAAATTCTGGGAATAAACAGGTATCTTGAAATAGGAGGCAGAGTAAACTTGCCCCATATACACCTCAGCTCAGGATCACTGCCTGGTTTGTACTGTGAATGGGGAGACATTGAGAAAAAAAAAAAAGTATCTTGAGACTTAATCTATACCAAGATATTCAGCAAAAGAATCTTTGAAACCTATACACAGGAGGGTATATAACCCCTGAACCTGCATCAGACATCTGTTTTTCAGATTAGCCAGAACAGTCCATCTGCGCTTCGGAGCTGGATGAAATGAAACAGATTTGCTTGCCTTGCTTCTTTAATAATTTTGCTTGCTTAAATTGCTTTAATAAACTGGTTTATCACAATGCAATCAACTGGAGTTTTGTCGTTTAAATTCGTTTGTACAAGAGGACAAGAATTGAAGTTGGGGACAACCCTCTCCCTCCAACTCTGGGGGCTGTCCCATAACACCACTCCACTTCTCTGGTGTCTGTGAGAGGTGCCTGTAACTAGGATTATGGAAAAAAGTCATACAAAAACAACTGAAAATATACATGGCCCCACTACAGTTCTCAATTAGTTATGAAAAGCATAACTAGCTGTTTCTTATTAAAAAGTTGTCTACAACTCTTATATTTAAAATATTTTTTATTTACATGGAGGTCATATTTTTAAAATCTGTGTAGCAAAAATAGAAATCACATATCTGCATACACTCAATCTGAAAGACTGTCCCTTATCTACAAATGGCTGACACCAGAAACACTCCTCATCACTACTGCTAGACATTTCCTTACCATTTCCTCTTGGCAACTACTTCAGATAACAGCACTGCCTGAAACACTAACTTTACCTCCAATTCTCACTTTACTCTGATACAAACCGACAAAGGGCCTTTAAGTAGCGACACAAGACAGGCAGTAATATGGAGTAGAGAGGGAAAAAGAGGTCAAAGAAAAGAGTGCGTTAAACCTACTTGCTAGTCTTTACCACTACTAGTCTAGCCACTATCCAGTACCCCAACACTGCTCATTACATCAACAAGTGTCATTTGCACAAATGGATTGGGAAGGGTGGAGGGAAATCTTTTTCTACCACAGCAGGAAAATCTTATTTTCATTCTTATTCCTGCTTCATTTGCAATTCCACAACCAGAAATAAGAGAAGGAAAAATTATATATCCAAGCCTACACTCATTATTCAGTTCTCATTCCTGTACTTACTATCCAGTAAGTGTTTTGCTGCCTTCTTCATTCTATCCCAATTTATTTCCTTCCCTGCAATCTCTTCCAAAAGAGATTGCAATCTCTCGCACAGCCTCAGCTCAGCTAATCATACCTATCCAATGATTGCCCCATCCCCATCAATTTATATCTTTTTACCTAACACAAATTCTAGGGCCACTTTCCTGTTTCCCATTTTCCCTCCCATTCCACCAACATTTGGAGTCACAATTAGGCTTGGAATTGAGAAAAGACTATTATTCCCATAAAATATGTACAGTGCTAATTATGTGCTATCCAGACTTCAAGCAAGTTATTTTAATATTTGGGGGATTCCGTTCACTCACGCAGAAGAAGGAATTAGTTTAGGTCACCACTCCAAAATCTGGCTGACAAATTTCCAGGCCCCAAAATAAGGATTCTGAAAATGTACATCTGAAATGGAACGCAGTTTTCTAAAAGGCACTCAGATGAGGCTACTGATGAGCCATGCCTGGGAATCAATGATAAATGCTAAGGCTCTTTCTAGTCTAACATTCCAAGATTCCAAGCTGGAATTTTCACTGCATTTTCTGATAGGAATCTATCTATCTATCTATCTATCTATCTATCTCCACATATATAAAAGCCTAAGCGACCGTCTGACCGGTAGTTATGACGTGCAATGACTACCAGGGAACAGATGCTCAATGCAGGAGCTGTCAAGCTGCAGTGACTTGGCAGCTGCAGTTCTCAGGTGACGCACCCGGAACCAGAGAGGAGGGAGCCCAATTCCGGGGTGCATCACATCACCCGAGAACTGCCCTCTTGCATCCCGGGACCCCTCAGGGGATGTCAGAGAGCCAGTTTCGGACCCACAGGCCAGGCCAAGGGAACCCCACCAGTGCACGAATCCATGCACTGGACCTCTAGTATTGTTATAAAAGGAGTGTAGTTTCCCATTATTATTAGAGGTTCACGTAGATTACTGATTAAGTAGGCCTGTGTAAAGCACCTAAGCCCATTTATATTACTTTATGACCATAGCTGACTTGCAAATGAACATGTACAATGTATGTACACAGACTGGGGACCATCAGTATTATAACAATAGTAAGACCTCAAAGAAAAACAATGAAAATTGTCATCAGACTTTTTCAGATTTTTTTCAAATCACAACTAAGATTTGACCTAACTATCAGAAATAACGGTAGGAAGGCATGCTCATTGGGATCTTTAATTTTGCTAGTTCACTGATGGGGCTTTGTAAATCACTGGAATAAAGCCTAGAGAAGTCTAGATCATTAGTGAAATTCAGGGCATAAGATACCTAAAGAACAGTCTCATTCAAAGGTTTACAGATTGCCAGGACTTTACCTGCTCAGAAGCACACCAGATCATTCACTTATGAACTACATCAGAGGCCCAATGCACGAAATTCGTGCAAGAGTAGGCCTTCCTTCCCCCAGCTGCCGGCACCGGCTTCCCTCCCGCACCCGGGCTTCCCTCCGGCCGCCAGCAGGCACCCAGGACCCAGGCTATCCTTGCAGCCCTGGCTTCATCAGGAAGGTCGTCCAGAAGGACATTCAGTCTAATTAGCATATTATGCTTTTATTATTATTATAGATAGATGTACCTATTTTAATTCTAGTAATTTCCAATTACCAATTTTCATTATAACCAGTGTTTCCTTGGTTAATATTCAAGCTTATAGACATGTTTCAACATGTGGAAACTAAGCAAACATAAACAACACTTGAAAACATTAAACATTAGCAGTGTGTTAAGTGAAACTATGCATTTATGAATAATAAAATTATTAAAAGGTAAACATGGAAACTGAATTATATGCTAGTCATTTTTTTCTTTAAAAGATATACTTCCTTAATTTTGTACAAAATAGCATTATAAATAAAAGGAAAGTGTCCATTTATTCATTTCCTTATTTCTCCAAACATAAACATCTGTACTGAAAAAAAATTATATATATATATATATATATATATATATATATATATATATATATATATTTTTGTTTGTTTGTTTGTTTGTTTTTATTGCTTTCAGAGAGGGAGAGACAGAAATGTCAATGATGTGAGAGAATCATCGATCAGCTGCTTCCTGCAGGCCCCACAATGGGAATGGAGCCCACAACCCAGGCATGTGCTCTGACCCAGAATCAAACCCTGACCTCCTGGTTCATAGGTTGATGCTCAACCACTGAGCCATGCTGGCGGGGCCTGAATGCCATTATATAAGTTTATTCTCTGAATATCAAGAATGGTTGCTATGGTAAATACTCATTTTATTGAATAAATTGTGGGTTGTAGTTTAAAACATTTAAAAAACAAATTTCAACATAACTATACCTGATGTCTCTATTGCTATCTACTAAACAATAACTGTAGGCCATCTTTGAGACTATTATTTAAATAGCTATATAAAAAAACTAGACTTGAGTTGCCAAGGAATAAAACTTTGACTTTAAAGAGTTTGAAAAATAAAACATATCTCAACTATATTCAAAGGAACAAAGACACTTAGTATTAATCTTTAATCTAGATCAACATGATCTTACACGACTGTTTCAACTCATAATTTTGCTCCTAATGCTAAATTAAGTATAAGATCAACACCATAAGACTGCCAACTTTTCAGTTTGCAATTAAGCTAAATCGATAGCAAGTAGAGAGTTAGTTATCCCTCACTTTGATCTTTAAAATTTCTCCTGAGCATAGGGAAAAACTGTGACTTTTCAGTGTATTATTATAAAACTGAGACTTGGGTTACAAAATTCATGCACTGGGGTGGGGGGTGTCCCTCAGCCTGGCCTGTGCCCTCATGTCCGGGAGGCCTCAGGGGATGTCCAACTGCCCTGGAGGTGGGAAGCTGAGCAGCGCTCCCCCTATGGGAGCACACTGACCACCAGGGGGCAGCTCCTGCGTTGAGCATCTGCCCCCTGGTGTTCAGTGCGCGTCACAGCGACTGGTCGTTCCAACGTCTGGCCGAAACCAGCTCTCCAACATCCCCCAAGGGGTCCCAGATTGCAAGAGGGCGCAAGTCAGGTCAAGGGACCCCATGGGAGCATGATCAAGACTGGGGAGGGTGAGGAGAGGTTGGCCAGCCAGGGAGGGGCTGCGGGAGGGCTACAAGGCAAGTCTGGCCCATCTTGCTCAGTCCCCAACCATCTGCCAGACCCCAGCAGGGAGCTAACCTACTGGTCAGAGCATCTGCCCCCTGGTGGTCGTGCAGGTCATAGGGAGCCACTGAGCAGCCTTAGCATATCATTAGCATATCATGCTTTGATTGGTTGAACGCTGACCGGACACTTAGCATATTAAGCTCTCATTACACAGGAGGATAGCTCCGTAAAAAACGCCAACTGTGGGCCCCACTGTAAACACTCCTCAGGCACAAGCAAAGCCACGGAAACAACTTCTTTGCTTATCATGTCCCACAGGAGGGTCCCAGCCTGCGGCTTCTCCAGGGCCAGGTCCTCGGGATGCTGAGTCAAAAGCTAAGCCGTTTTGAGAACCTGCCCCAGATCTCTTCGTCCTCCGCCTAAATAAACACGAAGATCAGACATCCGAAGTCCAGGAAGTGGGGCGACGCGAAGTCCAGGCAGCTAAGCGGCTGCTGACTCCGAAGCCCTGCAACCCGGGAAGCTGGGTCCGGCCCCGACCCGCAGGAGCGAAGCCCTAGGAAGGCGGCTCCCGGCAGCAAACCCCACAGGCTGGTCCAGCGCGGCTCTCGGCTTCCTCCGTCCGCCTCCCTAGAGGCACTTGACCTGCGGTCGTGGTTCCCTTCCCGTCTCTCCAACGAGACCTCCACGCCCCCCTGAGGGTGTGCGTGCGAGGCCCCACAAGGGGCTGGGGCCGGCGGGGGCGGGGCTGAGTGCTCGCTCAGGCCTGGAGCTCCCCAGAGGGGCCCGCGGAGAAGGGGGTCCGGGCCTGGGCGAGCGGCGCTGCCAGGGACTGACGTTCAGTTCCTTCGGGTAGGAACGGGGTCCCCTGGGGGGAGGGCAGAGGTGGTAAAGGGCTGGGGCGAGGAGCCCCCTCTTCCCCCGCGGTCCCCCCCTCGGCTGTTTACCTTCCCGGTACTTCTTGCGGAGCCGCCGGTGGACGCTCTTCACCACCCCGGACAGCTTCTCCTGCTCCCGCTTCCGCTCCTGCTCCCCGAGCGGCGGAGGGCTCGCGGGCCCTGCCCCGTGTTTGCGAACGGCGCCGTGGCCGCCGGCTCCGAGCTCCATCTCGCCGCCGCCGCCGCCCCTCGGCCCGCGTCGACGTGCTCCCGCCGCAGGAGGTGGGGAAGGAGGCTGCAGCGGGGGTGGCCGCGGAAGGAGGCCGCACGGCTGGAGCCGCGGCGCGAGTGCGGCCCAAGGGCAAGGCTCACCCAGACGCGCAGAGCTGATTGGTGGGCTGCGAGGGCTGGGGAAGACGGACAGGGCCACGAGCCAATGCGGAGGCGGGGGGGCGTCTGGGCGGGGAGCAGCTGAAGGAGGCGGGGCGGGCAAGCTGAGAGCCGCTGAGCGGTAGGAGCAGCGAGCCCCACCCTCCTCTGCTCTCCCCGCCCCCCGGATTTTGTGGGCACGCGCTGTGGAGACCGCGGAGGGGAACTGTGGGCCACGCGCTTGCGCGTCGGAGTGTGCTTAGTTCTGACGTCACTCTGACGTCCACCTCCTGCCAGCACATTCGGGTGTGACGAGGCTGGGGGTCTACCCGAGCCCGCGCTGCACCCTGTCCTTGGCTGAGGCGCGTTTTCATTGGCGCCGGGAGAGGTATGGCTTCCAATGCGGGTTTATTAAGTGGGCCGGCCATTGCTAATGCTTCCAGGGTCAGTGCGGGTGAAAGACCGGAAATGGGGAAAGGAGAGGACCAAGGAAAGCGATGGAAGATGAGGGGAGCGAGGGAAAGAAAGATGGAGAAGCAACGACAGCTGCCCGCAAGAACTTCTATGGTGTCTCTGGTATCACAGGCATCCTGTCCTGCGTTAATGTGCATCAGAACTCTGACGCTTTATTTATTTTTTTCTTTTTTTAGATTTTTTAAAATTTTTATTTTTAGAAGAAGGGAGAGGGAGATGTGGACAAAAAGGGGCCACATGCTAACCTAACTCAGGGAAGGCCTACCTGGCGGCCTGAAAATACAACTTTTTAACTGAAGGCAGCCTATGGCAGATAGGCATGTCCTAGGCTAGATTCTTCCCTGACAAGTCAGTCTTCACCTTAACTAAGCCTGTCTGTTGTCTTTTGCATCTATGATAACATACCTTTGGAATGTCAGGATAACTGGTAACTTCCCTTTTTCCGGACTCCTCAGGTCACAACCAATGTCCTTGGCGCCAGGACTGGCGACCACTATTTCCTTCATTGCTATTGTTATTCATCGTTGGCTGTTAACTATCCTGTACTCACCTATGTGACAGAAGCTTGTGTCTATCTTCTTGCTTTTTATCAAATCCCAGAGACCCTGTCCCCTTTGCTTTCTTCCACCTCCCTAATCTATCACCAGTGGATTTCATGTCGCCCACTTACCTCTCTTCCTTGGATTGCAATGTAGAAAAATAAGTGAAAAACCACCATTTTCCCGAATATTATCCCAATGTGTTGAGATTCTGCTTTCTGGCAGTTGTCAACAGTTTGGCTCAAATAAACTCACAAAAATTGTTTACAGGTTTGAATGCTTTCTTATGTTAACAGAGAGAGTGGAACATCATGAGAGAATGGAACATTGATTGGCTGCCTCCTTTAAGCCCCCTGCAGAGGACTGAGCCTGCAACCCAGGCACCTGCCCTGACTAGGAATCAAACCTGCAACCT